GCTGATGCCCGCGAGGATTCTAGCCCTGGACTTTTCTACATAAATCAACTTCAGCGCATGGCAACTAACCTAAATTAATGTTAACCCGATGCGACGGCTGTGTCACAGGAGTACATATGTAATGTTTATAAAATTGGGTAGGCAGCTCTGCAACCACTATTGACGTTTCACGAATATTAGCGTCTATTAAAAAAGTAGTGGCCTCTGCGGCAAAATGATTCACTGCCAAGAAGAATGCTTGGGTTCCATTCCAGCTGGGACCCTCACATTCATCCTTTGCATTTGTTCGGTCGACGCTACCAATGTCATGTATTAATTAACGCTCGCGCGTTAAAATTGCCCATGTGTGTTCTCGTTGTTCCTTGGTAGGTACTAATGCCTAGTTCACACTGAAACATCCGCTTTCTACAGCGACCGAAATTCTCCTGCCGCCGAAACGCAGCGTCGTTCGCACTGGACGCGCCCCACGCCGCCGAATATGCCATCTACTACGGGGCGAACGCGGGATGGATGCGCTGTCACCCGGTTGTTGTCGCGGCTCGCAAACGCTACTACGCTATCCGGTGGTGTATACTTCGACGATTCTCTACTCAACAAGCAAGAAAACACAGTACTGCTTACTTTGCTGGCAAGTGGCTGTCTTGTAATGCACGAAGTGCAGAAAACCACCGACGCCAGCGGCGTTGGTGGGTTCGTTTTGCTCTGCAAGACCGCAACAAGCTCGGTCACGCCAACAGCAAGCTCGGTCACCTCTTTCACGAAATATGGAGGCGAAGTAGGCACAGAGTGGGTTAAACTCCCGTTGGTTTCAACATTCAGTTACGTGCACTGCGGCATAACAAGTGAGTAGGGCTTGGCCGCCATTTTTAGATGCGGAGCATCTAATACTCGAGGCTTGTAGTGCGGCGCCGTCCGCAAGCTTCCTCCTCCTTCTTCCACCATCTGTGCATCCCTTCCTCCTCTACACACCGCGCGCGCTTCACTCCTCCACCATCTGTGCACCCTTCCTCCTCTACACACCGCGTGCGCTTCACCTCTTCACGAACATTCGCTAGCTGTATAATGTAGCGCGCATGCGCCGTCACGCTTCGAGAACATCGGCAGCTGACGCGCGCGCATGCGCCGTTGCGCTTCTCCCCCTTCTCGAACATTCGACAGCTGACAGTGCATGCGCCGTCGCGCTGTATATATACTCAAGGTCGGTGCTCGCTCGCTCAGTGGCCGCTCGTCGGTTGGTTTGTACGGCGCGTCGACGTCCGAGGTCGCAATGATCGACGTCCCTTCGACCAGCGCCGGCCAAAGTGGCATCTAAAAGCCATCGTGCTCAAAGTTCGTCGCAATAAATAAACACCGCCCTTTCGCATACGTGTCGTATGTGTTCACTCATTTAACACCCCTCCTACAACCACGTTAACCAATTTAGCCAGCGACCCAAGTAAGTCGCAATTTAACACCCCATTTCACAACCCCGTTAACCAATTCAGCCATCGACCCAAGTAAGTCGCACTTTAACACCCCGTTAACCAATTATATGCTCCGCATCCTTCTCAGTGTTCCCCCGAGGGAAGCTGCGGGCAATTTATTTAAAATTCCTTGACTAGCGCTCCTATTGGTCAGCGGTGACTGATTCGGCGGCAGACGCCGCGAAAATCGGTACGAGAGCGATCGGCGCGGAGAGGGCCCTTTTGGCGGATCTCGCCACCGCTGAACCGGATTCGGAGCACTTTCGGCGGCCGGAATGCTCAGTGTGAACGCGGCCTAAGTGTCAATCACCAGTGGCACATACCCGTACGCCAGCGGCACATACCCGCCCATGGGCATGTGCCATTGTCTGGCGAGAAGTGTATGACAACGTGCACGACAGGGTTGTGACAATATTCATGTCTTGACCAGCACATGATATTCGTCAAACCATTTTACCTCCCTCCTGTGCTAATTTTGGTTCACGCCAAGTTAAAACGGTGACCACGAGGGCGCTCAAACGTAAGCGGTTGGATAGATAGATAAATAGATAGATAGATAGATAGATAGATAGATAGATAGATAGATAGATAGATAGATAGATAGATTGATAGATAGATAGATAGATAGATAGATAGATGTGCTCAATGTTGCCATTGTTCGCTAAGAAATGCTTCGCATCTAACACCAGTATGTGCTATTCGTGCGTGCGTGCTGGTACAATCTTCTACGGCGTGTGTGTGTGTGTGTGTGTGTGTAACAAAACATATTAATAAGTATGCCCTTTGCGGCTGAAAGATGCACTAGGGGCCAGATTGTGCTGTGTGTGTGTGTGTGTGTGTGTGTGTGCGTGTGTGTGTGTGTGTGTGTGTGTGTGTGTGTGTGTGTGTGTGTGTAACAAACATATTGATAAGTATGCCCTTTGAGGCTGAAAGATGCACTAGGGGCCAGATTGTGCTATAGCGTTCAACTCTTAAAGGCGGAGCTAAAAGGTCCCCAACTTTCGTTCAGAAATAGGTTGTGTAGATACTTCATATTGCACACTTTCACCATATTTGTTAGTACTTACCTTTACAGCATTTTTAGAAATATTACTTTTATTTGTTCTGAAAACTATACATATATTGTCTAGTTCTCTCTTCAACATATTATGCTGTACTTTTTTATTTTATGTTGACATATACTGTACCCACCCTGTTAGGACCATGACTGCTAGTAGTATTTGAAAAAAAAATAAATATATAAAAATATCTCAATTTCTTATGAATGTCTACAATAAAGTAATATTTTTGTGTTATTATTAATAACGATACTATATTACTAATATAATTGTTCTTTTCACTACTCTTTTAAACTCAACACCCACGAACTTTCTTTGAAAAAGTTCAAACTTGTGTTAGAGGCGCAACGATAAGTAAGCGTGTGGTACTATGAATGAAGGACATAATTGTAAATTGAAAGGCTTCTTTGGCTTTGTTGGACTACATAATAATGAAAATTACCACACAATAGTGCCAGCAGGCCTATACAGTGAATGGTATTAGCAATAGTTACGCAAATGTGAAGAAAGAAAAGTGGACTAAAAGATAATTTTCTATATTTGCTACAATGATAACATGTGGCGCTAACAGACACCCTCCCGCTTAAATACACAAGCATATTCAGTAGACAGTGAATGGAGGTAGGACCGCTACCGTAGCTGAGTGGTAGAGCATTGGACGCGTCGCAGGTTCGGATACTGCCGGTGGCAGGTTATCTTTTTGTCGTATTTTTTTCTTCACATTTACGTTACGATCACTTCTAATGACATCCCCTTGGAGTTATTGACCATTACATTTTATTGCTATAAGGTACCATAGATATTTCACCGATCATGCGCTTTTAGAACAGCGCAGTATTTCGTAGGTGGCTCAGGATTCTAAAATATTGGGATCTGTTTGAAATCGATGACATCAAATAGTTCGCTTTTTTTTAAATAACAGTGTCGGCGTGAGTGGTGGTATCGGCACTATTAATTGTGGCGAAATATCAGCATTATCCGTGACCGAAAACTCTAGATGCGAATAAACGAGATACCCACATTGTCACCTAGAACAACTGGAAGTCGAAAGTCACCTTGTTTGTTTTTTCACTGGAAAAGGGGGCAGAAAACACGAGCCTTGGCGGCGTGCGCCAAAGTGCCTTCATTGTTTTCTTTTCTCTAGGTCGCTCTCTGCTGAAAGGAGGGCACTACAACGGCATCGTGTGTAAAGCGTGACGTCTTATGATGTCAAGCCTGAAATTCTGACGGAGCATACCTTGACATGTGTGAGGTCATGATGACTTCATCACGCGATCATAACTTTTGGCGCGACGCCACATGACGGTCAATTTTTTGTTACATGAGGCTTGTCAGAGTTTCACCTTAGTATTACAATGTTCAGCTCGACCTGCAACTGAACCACTGAGCCTAAGATATCTTGCTTGGCGAACAGGTGTCATACCAAACACCCAAGGCTGTGCTAGCAACTGTTTTTTTTTTATTAAACTCTATAATGAAGTCATGTAGTTCTAGGAGGCAGCTTAGTGCACGCGATATTGCGGTAGAAGCATAGAATCACACCAGCGTCAAAACGTTTCAATTTGGTGTGATGCACTACAAAAAAACACCTTTGTCATCATAACCATAAAGTTTGAACGTGAGAGGAGTAAGACATTTCTCAGTATAGCCAACTTAAGAACCAGAACACGATTACACACGAAATAAAGCGTGTTTTCACTGCGAAAACGTTCGCAAAAGCTGTCAACATGAGAAGGGTAGAGCTATGCCCAGCTGCTCTCACAATAAGAACAAACACGGCCGGTCGCCATCTAGTTTCAGAACGAACCCGTGCGTTTCATTGGCCGGCATGGAGCAATGACCCGAAATCGAGCCTAACTGCACCGCCCGGGTCGGCCTGTTTCTACTGGCGGTGGTTACGGCGGTGAAACGCGTTCCAGATTGGTAATGACCCCTCGTGATTGTATTCTATGCGGTTTCCGAATACTGTGGCCCTAATGGTCTGGTGCACCCATGCGACCATTCCGTCATGCCTTCTTGGCGACGGCCGCTGTGGCTACTTCGCAGACTTGATTTAGTGAGGCCGTTCACTTTTATAGAGAGCAAGCTTGCCTAAGTACCGTGTGGAGATAGTTCCCTGTAGGCTGCAGGCATTTCGTTGGACCTGCTTCTCAAGAAACACGTCGACCATGGAACAGGACAGAAACAAAAAAAATGTTTACTTATTTTTCATGCTACGTTTTTGTTGTCTGTGCAGTGGTCAGAGCACTGGCCGACGCCTTAGCCTTTTTCCTAAACATTTTGTTGTCATAAGTATATGTAAACATGAGCTTGCCCACGTCAACATTCGTTCCTCCCCAAATTTATTTTGGAGGAATACGTAGCTGACACTTTATGTGGCGACACTGCGCATCCAAGAAAATGATACTCCTGAAAATCATAATAATGAGATTATAGTTGGTTGTTTCGCGATAAGTAAGCTTGCCTTTACTTTTTGCAGGACTTCTATGCTCCAGAACAGAAGCTTTACCGAAACTTGGTGGCATCTCTTTCCCGCCTTTGTATGCAGAAGAACATTCTAGTTAAGAATAAATAAGTATGTTTTGTTTGTTATTGTTTATTCCATGGGTTTATTGTATTCACGTATAAACTTTTTTTCTAACTCTGCATTTATTTTTAGTATTGGCTGTTCTCTGGCCGTATGAGGTTTGCGAATATTGGAGTTAACTGGTCTTAATGAAATTATTTCATTGATGAATTTTCAGGAAAAAAAAACGTTCTTTATTCAAGCTGTTGTTACCACTTGCCTCCCATATTGGTATAAGGAATATTAGGCAAACATGGGCAGAATTTTCGTTTCTGTTTTGTCTTTCCATGTGCCCGCGTTTACGTGCTTTCCATTGGACGACTCGTTACGAAATACCTAAACCATGTGCATTGCCTCAGCATCACGATGGCGGAAATGATCATTTCATGCCAATATTTACCTGTCGAGGGCATGACTTCCCTCATAGAACTTGTTAAAAAGTAGATACACTGTGTGCATGCTCGACTGAACGTTTGATCAATAAACATTGTTGAGTTAGCTTTGACTTATACAAAGTAGCATAAGTAAATCATTCGAAACCATAAATGTGGCCCTAAGCAGCAATCGCTGTTAACAGGCGACATAAATTGTCATGTATTTAAAGCTACAGCGGTCTTGAAACACTATTATTTCCGCATCGCTGGCATGTTTGCGGCGCTTTTTTCTACTTATGACGAGTGCTGAAACCTGAATATATCTATGTTGACGTGATAGGAGGTATATGCGATATGTTAGTGCTTGCATCATTTTTATGTCGACATGGCACGATGTCGAAGCTTCACCCACCAAATTTATTTGAATTTTGCCTCGAAGCAGCCGCAACAGCTCATTCAAATGAAATCGCTTGGAAACTTTTTTTTCTTCGAACACGTGATACAACCACAGAATTAAAAAAAGTGTTGAGGACGGATCACAAGACAGTACATCTGCATGCCTCCAAGAAATCCAAATATTTTTTCCCAACATCGTCCTACTCTTTGTTGTTTTGTAATTCCCAATTCACGAAAAAATTATACATGTTGTGTGCTTGCCATTGTCTTCTTAGATGACGCTATGGAACAGTCGAAAAAAGTTGCAGTCACAAGTTCGGGACAAAAAAAAATTTCTCTTCGACAGTACGGTTGAGGCAAAACCAAAATGTTGGTACTTGAGCCAGCCATTAGTGCCTTTACGCACTAGTCTCTTCAGAATTTTCTTTCATATATTTAGCAAACAGGATAGCGAAGTGCTAGTTTTGAACTTACAAAACTAGCACTTCGCAACAGAAGTTAAATCAATCAATATTTCATCAATACGCTGCCCGCGTGCAAACATGCCAGCGCGCAATAAATATGAACACTGAACTGAGTACACAAGATTAAAAAGAGCGAGCAACCACACTGCCGTGCCTCTTTCTGGTTTTCTGAACGCTGTTTGGCCTATGGTAAAGGAATCTTTTAGGAGTAAAGGAATTATGAGCTATATATACACTTTATTTTCGAACAACAGATCCAGTTTCAAAAAGATGACAGGTCCATAAAAATTGCACCATCTCCCGCTAAAGGGATCCATGTATAGATGTGAAGCAGCGGGGGCTAACGCTTACACTTGCTGCGACGCTGACGCTGGAACTCTTTGCAGGGTTGCGCTGGACAGAAACCTGGCGAAGCGCAAAGCACGCACTAATGGACCGGTGTATCCTACTGTAACATGCCAATCGCGATAATGAGCAATGAGAGACAGTAGACTCCGATTAAACGCAGAGACCCGCAGTCCGCTTTTAGCGAACACGCACGCTGCAAATTCTTCACTGTTGAACAACCAACAGGAGAAATCTGCCACCGGCACGACCTTGAAAGTCAACATTCAGTGCCTATTTATGCGGGCTGGCCGGTGAACGGTTGTGGAGCGTGAACAGTCGGTTTTTGGGGCGAAGTTCCCTATGCCATGCGCCCATTCCCTATGTCATGCGCCCATGATCTATGTTGCAGTAATAGTGGTCGTCATCGTCGTCGTAGTAGTAGTTAGCCACCTCCATGGCCAGACTAGAGAAGCGGCATACGCACACGCATTTAAATTAAGGAGGAAACCCACGCACGTTATTCATAAATAGAAAGATTTTTTTCTGACAAAATAACTTACAAAGACAAGTATTGGTGACCTATTCTCCAATAAAATTTGTCTTGAATTCGATATTCACCAAAAAGTGGTATAAAAAAGACGCACACTGGGCACTGTTTGACCAGAAGGTGTTCCCACGTTTAACTCGCCGTGTGTAATTTTCTTCGTTTTAGCAAGGTTTAGCGAAAATCGGGCTGCAGTGCCATGAATATAGTGAAATAATGTGCAGCCAGAACGGTGACAGGTGGGAAGTAGACAAGAAATTACGCGAGAGCCACTACTCGTTTAGTCCTTGGAATGTCCGCTGAATGACGGTACTTCTATATGCTGAATATATGGTGAAAAGATGCAAGATGGCGGTATTTAGAGTAATCCCTAGATGTAAGGATGGATGAATGGACGAACCGACAGACAGATGCACGGACGCACGCATGGACAGACGCATGGACTAGTGCAGGAACGGACACACGGTTGGACGCACAGGCGGATGGACGCATGGATGGACGGATGGATGGTTGCACAGATGGACGGACGGAAGCAAGAACGAACGGACGGACGGTCGCTTCACCACACTCGTCATCATGCACTCCGTGGATATGCTGTGATTTTTTTCACTTGAGAAACTCGCTAGCAGACGCTGCTTGCGTCGGCGTTGCGAGGTGAGAGAGAGGAAAAAGTGATACGGGGAGCGCAAGCAGGTGTAGGGGAGAAGTGGAGAGAGTGCAGCTGTTAGAAATAGGAAAAGAGGAGAGCTGCGCATGCGCAGTGGGGGTGTTGGCAGCGTATCGCCGACGCCGAAGCGCGACATCGCATGACTAAGACATTTCAAGAAAGGACAAATGAAACAGAACAGTTTAGCAAGTAGCACATTGAATCCACGGAGTCACACGTTTCTATAAAAATACAAGAGGAGATATTGCTGCCTTGGTAGAGCGGCGAGGCGACAACTATGCTAGCGCCACGAAGATGGCTGCTACCGGCGTTGTACCGCCTCCCACTACCCAAAGATAACCATCACTGCTTGTTTCTCGAAGTGTACGTCCCGCTCGGGCGGCAACGACCTGGAGTGGAACACTGCTCACTGGAATGCAGAACATTGCCCTAGCTGGCTTCGCTGTTTAGTCCATGGGTGAAAGAGAATTGTGCGTTTACTTGAATTTTTTGATTGTGCTGCGAAGCTCACAACGCGTCCCTCACGTATCGAAATGGAGCATGAAGAATGGGGTGATAATATAGAATGCCATCACTCTAGAATTGGGGACACTGGTTTCCCTAGCTGCGTTAGGTATAGGCAGCTTTTCAATTCAGATGGCTGCTTAGAAGCAGTGGCAGAGTTGGAAGGCGGGGTCAAACTTGAACGAAATCCAATTTCCCCCAGTGGCACGCCTTATAGTGTACATATTTCGCTATAATATACGCATGAGTGGACTGTGGCACTAGTGTATATGGGAGCTGCAACTCGCGGCGCTTCACCCAGCATGGCACTGATGGGTAGTACTGGCATCTGTCTAATCTTTGTTCTTTTGGCTCCGTTTTGTTCCATGTGACTGCAATTGACTTTGTTGCAAGACGAGGTTCAGCAAATATTAGCAGTTACGCTCCAACACCTTGACAATTTTAGGTTCACCAATTAAAATTGGCTAATCATAATCACGATGGTCCGTTATTTTATTCGAAACAAAATTAAAAGACAGCAATAAATAAAGCCATGAGTGCGTTCCAAACCCGCAAGCATGAAGAATAGGCGAATCCGTGTACTCCCATAATTCGAGTGATTGCTGAACGCTTACAGCGCAAGATTCGCCTCGAGTTAGTTATACAAGGCTCCACGTTACGGAGTGGCGGTCCTTGTTGCGTCTGTGTTGGCGACGCAAAATGGCTTGAAGACCCGCGTTAGTCGTTCGGTTTTCGGGTCTCGATGCAAAGCGTTGCAACGACGCATGTGTGGCTTACGTGCCGCGCATGCGCACTGGCGGTCCGACCACATCTTGGCTCCCGTAACTCCATGCCCCTCGTGTTATTACTCGTAATACTCTCAAATGTTGTGTTGGTCAGATAGAGAGAACTTCTTGCAGGCAAATATGTGAAGTATCTAAAATGCCAGTTTAAGGAGTGATCATAGCAGATCAAACGTGTAGTGGTCGGAAAAAGAAGGCGGTGAAGCAAAGATTGGTCCGTGGTGACGATTTTGCTGATTAGCGCGTGTCAGCGACGTGTTCGTCACCGCGTTTGAGGTTACATGTCGCTTGGCTCTATTGCATACTGGTTTCGTTTAAAACTGTCTTAAATTTGAATTGCCAAATTCACGTTTAAATAATGGATCTGCTCGTTATTTTGTGCCTGGCGCCAAGATAGTGTTTCCGTTCGATAATGTATTGCATGCGGAAAAAAGACCAGGTCAGTTTGTTCGCGCTTTTTTACCGCTTTACTAGGGAACAGCGTGGTTTTTCAACAATGGGTTCATGTGGCCTCCGCTAATGAAGGAGTGCTTTATGTTCTTACGTTCGACTGCTACGCTAGTACACGATTTATGACCTGCATTGCAATTGTACGCGAATGTTTTTAACTGCGGAGCAATTTCAGTCATTGCCGTACTGTCATCAAACAGTTTTTGTTGACTGTCAATTTGCTTAGTTTGTTACAATGTTCCTTCTGTGTACGCTTTTGATTTAGAATCAAGTCTTTTCGTAAGTTGTTCTTGTTAATGCGCTACGTCTTCCACTTGCTCACGGTGATGTTTAAATGTCCGTAGTGCCTGAAAATTTTAACGTATTCAGTTTGTTTCTAGACATCACAATGTGATGCCTTAAAATTGAAATCTTTAGCAGGCATGTAGTACGTGTTTGCGAATTTGAGTCTTTCTCTTTTTTTGCGATTTCCTAACTACTGTGTGTTTTCGCCATTTGTACAGCCTGCTGCTTTGTCACAACG